AGCAGCAGCACGCTCGAGTCGAAGGAGTCACGGGTGACTGGCCCGCCGATCATCACCGTGTGGTTGCTGAGGTGCCTGCCCAAGATGGGGTGCACGTGGTTGAGCCGAATCGTTGCGTTCACCGGCATCAGCATCCCCTCATCGTTCTCCAGCGGCTTGTTCAGCACGAACGCCGCCGACTCATTCGGGGTGGAGCGCGCCACAATCATGACGGAGTGGCGGAAGAAGTCGTACAGCTGCGGGTGTGCTAGCAGCAGCTGCACTGTCGCGGGTGTCTCGAACGTTGTTTTGTTCGACTTCATCTCACCAAACACGAGGTCGCTGTTTTTGCAATCGCCGATGCTGCCGTTGTCGCTGTCGGCAACGACATCCTCCTCCTTCACGCGCACATCCTCCTCCGACGTGCGGCTGACGCCTCGGCGCTCATTGGCGACTTTCTCCAGCACATCTGAGAGCCCCTTCGTGAGAGAGATGTGGTGCATCTCCTCCACCTCGTTGACCACCGTGAGTACAGGCGTTGGGAGTGTCTTGGCGGCCTCCGGTGGCGACACACCTGATCCGTAGTGCTTCGCAGCCATGTCGGTCACGTAGGAAAGTTCCTTCAGTGCCGCGAAGGCATTGTTCAGCTGGCTGACCGTAAACGGCGTATTCTCGAAGGCGTGGCGGAGCGTCTGCACGAGCGATGGCGACGCCTCACCACTACCTCTGCTGTGGTTGCCACCACTACTACTACCACTGCAGCTACCATCGTTACTACAGCTGCTACCCTTTTTCGCTTTTCTGGTTGTGCTGTTGCAGCGTTCACCGTCACTTTCATCCTTCGCGATGGGAATGTAGAACTCACGATCGCCGTTCAGTTTGCGAATGAGATTGTCGAGGAAGATGCGGGGCTCGGGCCACCCCGCCTGCTTCTTGATATCAAACGCGACCCACTCCCTACGGCGGTGGTCGTACACCCGCAGCGGGGAGCAGGTCAGAACGGACCGCAACGCGATGTCCTTCTCGACCTTGGCGGCCTTCTTGTACAGTTGCCTGTAGACAGTACCCACAAGCTTCTCCATCTCTTAGCCTGCCAGCTCTGCCACAGACACAGAGAGGCACAGGGAAACAAAAACAGACATGAAGAAGAAGGCAAAGAGGAAGTGGCACTTCAGTGGAGCCATAGGGGCACCTGAAGGTGGTGAATATAAAAAAGGGGGGCGGGGTCACGTGACGCTACAATGGAATTATGGTTGCTGTCGCCGCCGTTGATGTTCCTTCATCGTTGTCGCTGTCGTTGTCCATTCGCTGAGAATAGACCTCCCGTGCCGGCCGCTACAGAAGTCCTCTGCGTTTCCCAACACAGACAAGCACACACACGCACACACACGCACGCACTGAAACTTGTACTCATACACGTATGACGGCACGCCAACACAAACACAAGAGGCCACACCCGCCTCACGACTACACCACGTCCTCCAAAGGTTCCGCTACCTCCTTGTTGCCCACGCGCTTCGCTACCATATGCATTGGGTTGCCCTTCCGAGCGTCGCGCAGGTGCGCTGCGTTTTCGATATACCGCTGCTGTTCCCATGCAGCCTCGAGCAAGTCCCACATCCGCCACGTCACCGCCGCCGCTATTGGGCCGAGCGGGAGAAACATGCGGTTGTGGTATATGGCGAGGTAAAAGCCCATCGCAGTGGCGACGGAAGAGATACCGGTGAAGCCAAAAAGGCTCCACTGGTAAAAGAATACGCTCCACGCGGCGCTCGAATGCTCCTTCAGCAGCCGCGTCGCGCTCTCTTTACTGACAGCAGCACCATTCGCGTCAGCCACAGCCTTCTTGTGGATCACCTGCACGTTTCCGCCTGTCGCTTTGAGGTGCTCGACGCGGTGCCGGTACTGCTTCTGGCGCGTGAAGTCTTCCATCACCGACAGCACGGCGGCGCGCCGCACCTCGTCGTATGTGAGTTTCACCGGCGCGGCGCTTTTGATCACAGGGGCGGGCGGCGCGCTGACATTCAGCGACGAGGGCTGCTGCATCGCGTTCCCACTACGGCTACTACTATCACCACTACTGCACGCCCCAACGGAGTGAAGAAGAAGAAAGAAAGATGTATCTAGTGCGTGAATGAGAAGGAAAGAACATACGGATACGCAGCCACAATTAGATCTCTCCTAGTCAATCATTACGACACTGCAGTTTCGTGAGCATCTGCTCTCTCGATTGCACTGTATATATCAATATATATATATATATATATATTTGCGTGTGTATGGGTGTGTGGGTGTTCATACGGAGCCCCACGAAGCAAACTGCAATGGAGGCAAACAAAAGAAGACAAAAAAAAAATGAATTCCCGCCGCTCACTCTGAGGCGGACCCCACATTGGCTCTGAGATCCATGAATGTGGAGCCATGCTCAGCGCTCAGCACTGCCCCCAGATCCACATCACTCGGTGAAAGCGTGTTCCTTCTACTCCTACTCCTACTTCCACGTGGCTGTGGCTGCCGTGGTCGCGACGGCCGCTTCCCCTTCGAGGGAAGCAGGTTCACACTGCTCGTTTCCTCCTGTAGCTTCTCGACGGAGCGGTTCGATGCGGGACTCTCAGTAGCCTGTGGAGGGGAAAAGTGCAGCAGCTGCTTTTCAGGCGTGCACATCATCATTTCCTCGTCAGCAGCAACAGCAAGAGCAGAAGGAAGAGGCGCAGCAACGACAGCAGTCTGTAGAGTGTAATGCTGCATCTGTTGCTGCTGATGCTGAACGGCCAGTTGTTGCTGTTCCAGCGCCAGGGCAATCTGCTCCGTGGCGATTCTCTTCTGTAATGTGGCGCATTCATTTTTGCGTTCCAGCGTCACCTGCAGCTCCTTCTTGAGATGCGCTGCCTCCTCCTGCAACTCGTCACGCCGCCGGCAGAAGAGCTCCGTCTCATGACGCAGCAATTCTCTCGCGGCCTCGACCTTCGCGATCTCCGTCGTCACGGCGACCTGCCGCGCCGCCATAGACTCCTGCTCCTCCATTAACTTCAGCAGCCGCTCAAGCAGCTGCAGCCAACACTTCTCCGCTTTGGCTCGCTCTGCAGCGACACCGGCGTGCTCATTCCCCATCGCGTGGAGAAGCTGGTGGCGCTGCGTGCGCAACGTGTCCCGGCTCTCCATTAGCGCGTGGTTACGCTCCACCAGCAGCTGCACGGCGTCCGCGGCAGCCGCTGCGGCCGGGATATGCGACTTCCCAGAGCCAGCAGAGGCAATAACAGCCGTGTTCATTTCACCGGTCACCAACACCTCGTGGCCCCACTGCAGCAACTCCCGCTGCTCTCGCTCCCACGCCGACCGTGCAAGTTCGACACTGGCGAGGTGAGACTCCTGCGCCAACCGCTGCTCCCGCACCGTCTGCACCTGCTGCTGCAAACACTCGGCAACCTGCTCGCGCAGCTCACCGCAGCGCTGGCGAGTGGACACGAGTTCCACCTGCCGCCTTTGTACCTCGTCTAGCAGCGCGGTGACAATGGCCTCCTTCTCCTGCACTTCCATCCGTGTGGCGAGTTCCTCGTCGGTGAGGAAGAGATGCCCTTCGCCCTCGGCACAGAGAGCCTTGTTGTTGGCAAGCTGTTGTCGCAGCAGCTCCTGCACCGCCCGCTCCAGCTCACGCACTGTGGCCGTGACGCTGTTCGTCTTGGTGGCGCAAAGCTGCTGCACCTCTTGCCGAAGTGCCGCGGTGCTGCTGCTTCCCTCCGCCTCACCGCTGCGTCGCAGGCGATCCAGCTGGTGCTGCAGCGTCTCCAACTCCGCCCGCTGCAGCTTCTCGAGGACGGCCTGCTCGACCTGAGAGCGGTGCTGCAAGTCCGCCCGCTGCCCCCGCGCCGCGGCGTCGTCGCTCTCACGCACAGCGGCTTCTGTGCGCCGCGCACACGTCACCGCCTCAGCCGCGACCTGCTGAAAACGCCGCGCCGCCGCATCTGCGCTGGCAGCAGCCTCATGTACACGGGCCTGCATGCGCTCTGTGGCGTGTTGGCGCAGCTGCGCGGTTGCCTGCCGCAGGCCCTCCCGCACGGTAGCGGTCTTGCGCGCCCGTGACTCCGCCCGCTGCTGGAAGAACTCACGGTAGCGTAGCAGGAATTCCTGCAGGAAAGCCCCAAGCTCCTCTTTTCGGGTGACGGCATCCTGCAGGTATGTCACCTGGTGACGCTCCCGCACCTCACACGCGACCGCTGCTGTCTCCTTGTGCAGGAACTGCACGACGCCGCTAGTGAGGGATTCAAGCCGCTCGTCGTGATGCCGCCGAAGAATGCGAAGAGCAGCCTCCACCTTTGCTTCGATGGCTCGGCTGCTATTGTTTCTCCCACCACCATCACCATCATCATCATCATTAGTATCTGCAGAAGCAGCAGCAGCAGCAGCAGCCTCTTCCTCTGCGAGAGCTATAAGGACTCCTTTATCGTCAAATCTATGGTTCTGCAGCAGCAGATTACGTTGCTGCTGCAGCTGTTCTATTCTAACACGTGCTTCACCCACCGCTGCGGTGAGGATGCGCAACTGCAGCTCGTGCCGCTCGATTTCCGTCACCATCATCTCCTTCTCTTGCTGTTGCAGCAAATCCGCTGTGCGGTCATGTACCTCCCTCAAGCGCCGCCCGTGGTATGTGTCGTACGCCTTCTGCTCAGCATCAATGCCGTTTTCACGGGATTCGAGCTCTGTCTGTTTTTCAATCACCTTTGCTTCCAACTCGGTTAGCTCGGCATCTGCCTTGATTTGGAGTGTATCTAGTGAGTTCTGGAGCTGCTGCAGCTCCATGTCAACAGCATCCATCGAGGAGAGAAGATCACGCCGCTCCGCCCGTCGCCGCGACTCTTCGTTCTCGACCTGCGCCGTCACCTGCTGCGCGGATGCCGCAGTAGGACCGGCAGCTCGCGTTGTGGGCACAGGGCCCTCGAGAAAAGCAAGCGGATCATCATCTTCGTCATCAACTACGTTGTTGTTTATGTTTCTCTTTTCTGCTGCAGCAGCAGCAGCAGCAGCCGCTGTGGCATGCCGACCTCGCCCCATTGCAACGGGATCCGGCGCCGCATCTCGCGAGGCTGCAGACGCACGCCGGCGCACAGCTGTGGGCGGATCGTCGTCGATCTCCCACGGCAACGGTTCATCCTTCACCGATGTGGGCACTGCTGATGGCCTTACCGCTGCTGCTGCTGCTGCTGTTGTTGGTAGTTGTGAACGCCGCTCAGATTCCTGCGGCAGCGGCACGTCGCGCCTACCTCGGCGGCCCTCCATCCTTGTCAATGGGGAGCCGGCGGTTGTTCCTGTTGCTGCAGGCACAAGTGGCACACCACCGGGCGATGGGCGCGACTGGCGGCTCTGCTCGGAGGAGAGCTGCGCCATGACGGCGTCGAGTGACTTCAGGTCATCCGCGAAAGGATCGTCAACATTCATCTCTTCCTTCACGAAGCAGGAGAGAAAGCAGCAACAACAGCATCCAATGCAGCATGCTACAACTGCAGCCCCCAATGCTGGTTACAGCAAACAACAGAGAAAGAGGGAGCGAGTGCTCCTTGTGTGAGTGTATACGTGTAGTTGTGTGCACACGCCAGAGGGGGGGAGAGAGAGAGAGGGCGGCAGACGGTGTGGGGGAAAACAGCCGCAGCACCCACAGTGCAGGCGTCAACACATACACACATACCCACACCCCGCCACACATCCCATACGGTGGCCAGAAACAAAAAAAAAAAAGGACCCCGTTCACTCAGTGACTCGCGTTACATCCATCTTTCATTCCACACAATCATAATCATTGCTGTTGTTGTTGTTGTTTTACACACTCTTCAGCCTCTCATTTTTTTTTTCTTCCTTGCGTTGTCCCCCTTCATTCTCCCCTTTTCCCCCTCCCGTCGTCTTCCCCTCCCACAGCAATGGCTGGGGGGCGAATGAGATACCAGTGAGAGAGAGAGAGAGAGTTAGCAAAGAAAACAACGGAAGAAAAAAAGACATGCCATAAGAAACACACAACTCAACTACATCATCCCAGCCATCCCACAACAAATCAGGCAAGGCTCAACTCTTCACCTTCCCAACCTGTAACAACAGTGCGTCGCCAGTATCATCATCATCATCATCCTCACCAGCAGCAGCCTTAGAAGCGCAAGTCCCCGGCAGGCGCTGGTAGCACGTCTGATTGATGAAGAAAAGCAGTGCCTTGATGACCTTCTCCTTGTCCTCCCATGAGAGATCGTCGAGGTACACACCCTCACCACTCTCGCCAAGGTTCACATGCAGGGCATTACTCTTGTTGGTGTGGCTGTTGCCTATGCCGTCTCTAACCGGCCTCACACCGCCGCTAAGACGCCGCCGCACAGGCTCTGTGGCGGGAGG